AGGCTTGCCTGTCACGTCACTGAAGGAGAGCTCCACATCTTTACACTGTTTGAGAACACTACAGGAGAAAATCAGACAGATTGGAGAGAAAAACTCAGCAACAGCTCTGACACACACCCTCATCACACAGGGAGGGGAATAGCACACCAAAACTCTAAATATTATCCCAAAAGTTCTGCTGTGGGCCCTTGCCATTTTGACTTTGAACAGAGAGGGATGATTTACGTGGAGTGGAAGAATTCATCCTCTCACCTGTGACAAGCCCTGCTTCTCCTCCACAAAGGGAAGCTTTAAATAACAGTTTCTCTTTCTGTCTCAAAAACCTGAGAAATTCAGGCTGAGGAATTCTGCTCTGCACATAAAAAGCCTCAGCCCAAAGATCACGGAATAGAAAGGGTTGAGTTATCAAAAACCATCCCCTTGATGCCAAGGTGTGATCAGACAGCAATCCTCTCTCCGCAGTCCATGCTCAAATCCAGGCCACTGCACTGGAAAATAGCACTGCTGTAACACCGCACCCACTGTGCAAACTGAGGAATTGGCTTTACTAACACCCCCTCTGCTGACCCTGCTTCACATAACTTAAGTAAGTACTTGTAATAAACAGTACCACGCTAAGGAACAAAACAGTGAGCCAGTAATGTCAGCATTACGGATATTATTGTTGGATATCTATGGGAACATTAGCAGAGTTTGCTAATGACACAAAGCCAGATGAGAACTGTGAATGTTGCAGGGTTAGGGGTATGGAGGTGCCTGGAAAATTAAATATATTTTCAGAAAAAAAAATTAAAGAGTTATTTTGGAAAAGTATGTCACTGAATCTAGGGGGCAGATCCTAAACATACCGCACAGTAAGAAATTTGCAGAATAAACAAAAGAGCCTTGGGGGTGATAAACTTTCAGCGTGTTACAGTGGCAGAAGATGTCGAGGTGTTTTATGGTTCAAGAGCATGAAAAAACAAAATCACAAAATCCTAAACTAGCACAAGCCTGGAACAGGTTGCATCTGAAGTAATCCTTATTCTGATCAGCATATTGTAGAATTCAAATAAAGTCGTGAAACTGCACAATTATTTGGGGAAGGGAGGAGTCTGCAGGGCCACTATATAGGAGAACAACCAAAAGGCCTGTAGTTTCAGGTTGTTTGCTCTTCAGGGAAGAGAAGGACATTGTAGATGCATCTGAAAAATGCACCTACTTGAGAATGAAGACATTAAAAAGTCTAGCTTTAATGAGAAAAAAACAACCTCACCAAGAAATGCCACTGGGACATTACTTCATAATTGAGCTAGATGTAGATTCTCAGATTGGCTGTAACGGAAAGACTGATGAGGCAGAAGAGCTCTTCCCATTTCCAAAATGTAAGGGGGGAAATGTTTCTTCTAAGCTAAATAAAACCAGCTTCTTGACAGCTTTGATCCTACCAGAACATTTCCTCAGCCATGTCCCTTAGCAGCGTTTCACATCAGTCTGCCTCACTGGGAAGAATTTCTATGTAGTCATTGTCATGTTTACTCCTTCACAGCTACTCACACAAACAAATAACATGCAGCCACCACCACTGGGAGTAATTAGGCTGTTGAACTGGTTTGCACCTTCATGCCTGTCCAGGGCTGTCACTGGAGGGCTGCCCCCACCTGTGACTAAGCAGCACCTTGAAGAATGGCCTGAGATCACAAAATCACAGAGTGTTAAGGGTTGGAAGAGACCTTAAAGGTCACCTAGTCCCAACCCTCCTGCCATGGGCAGAGACGTCTCCCACTAGACCAGGTTGCTCAAGGCCTTATCCAATCTGGCTTTGAAAACTGCCAGGCTTGGGTCATTGACAACTTCCCTGGGCAACCTGTTCCAGTGTCTCATCACCCTCACAGTAAAAGAATTTCTTCCCAATGTTTAGCCTAAATTTCCCCTCTTTCAGTTTGAACTCATTACTCCTTGTCCTATCACTACAGTTCCTGATGAAGAGTCGCTCTCCAGCTTCCCTGTAGGCCCCTTCAGATAATGGAAGGCTGTTGCCAGGTCTCCACAAAACCTTCTCCAGGCTGAACAGCCCTGACTTTCTCAGCCTGTCTTCACAGGGGAGGTGCTCCATTCCTCTTATCAACTTTGTGGCCTCGTTTGGACTTGCTCCAACAGTTCCGTGTCCTTCTTATGTTGGGGACCCCACAGATGGATGCAGTACTCCACACAGGGTCACACCAGAGTGGAGCAGAAGGGTAGAATCACCTCCCTTGACCTGCTGGCCACACTGCTTTTGATGCAGCCCATGATTCAAAGGACAGAGAGATCTCCTTTAAACCAGCATGAGCTCTACATGTCAAAGGACTTCCTTGACTGAAGTATTGGGAGTCAGCTACAAACTCAACACTACCTGGAGCATACTTTTGGAGTGTATTTTTCCTATTGACTACCGGCTCCAAACCAACTCCTTTGATCTTTTACTTCGATCCTTTACTGGGCCTCCAGTTTCTAGATGTGTCTTGCCAGGATGCTGGGAGCACCCAACACAACCAAGCCAAAGCCCGAGCCCGTTAAGCCGGTCTGTCAGTCCCCACTTGGAGCGAGGGCAGGCATCGAGCACCTGGCTGTGCTTCCATGGAGAGGTGCTCCTCTACACAGAGAAGGAACAAGGGTTTCTTATTTCGAACTCAAGGGATCGAGACTCCTACCTTAAGTGGTCTCTGCCTCTCTGACGTCACTAACTGCATGATCTTAAAAAAAAACCCAATTCCTTGCGTTTTACAGCGATGGCAGCTCACTCTTCACGTACGACGCCCGCTGGAGCGGCACTAAGAACCGCCGAGCTCCTGCGGCGAATACGGGGCAGCTCTGCGGACCCCAGCCAGACCTGCTCCCCGCACTGCCCGCCCCAGCCCGCTCCCACCCTGCCAGGAGCCCTTTAACAACGCAGATCCCAGGCCGCGCCGGGCCTGTGCGGGCAGGCAGGGGACGGGGGCTGCGCCAGCAGGAGCCTCCCACCCTCGGCCCGGCCCGGCCCTGCTGTGAGGACAGGGGGCGAAGAGGACCCCCCGGCCCCACGGTACCTCTCGGCATTGGGGATGACGACACCACCCTCCTGCGAGTGGTTCCTGTTCAGCGCCATCTTCGCCCCGCCAGCCCCGCCCCTCACCCGGGGGCGGCTGTGACGTCACTCCCGGCTGCCCCGCCCCCACAACGCTATCCCGCTGGCCCCGCCCCCCGTGGCGCGGCGGACGCGTGACGGGCGCGAGACGGAATAAGGCGGGCAGATGAGGCGGATGAGGCGGTGCCGGGCTGGTTTAATGGCTGGGCTGGTTTAATGGCCGCCGGGAGGGCGGTGGCACTGCCAGCGCTTGGCCCTGCGCACCGCGGCCGCCCCGCGACGGGCCGTACGTAACGAGTCGCGGGCAGTGATGCCTGCGCGCAGCCCTGCTCGCTCTGCTCGCTCGCTTTGCTCAGCGTAACCGCGCCTGTCCGCCGCCGTCTTGGCCTCAGTGGAAGTTGTCCAGGATTTGCCGTGTGCTTGGCAAAGTTTTTCCGGCGAACGGCGTGTGTGGTGGAGAGTGTGAGTCTCTGAACGCGCCGAGTTGGCACCTGTGGTATAAGGTTTCGACTCTATCCCTCCGTGATATTGTTCAGGGGATATCTCGGGGGAACAGCTGGCTTGCCGGTGTCATCCTGGAACTCAGCTGGTGGCGCACGATTCAGGCTTTTCCAGCTTATCCATCGACAGAGACTTCTTCCCCACAGTATCTCCCGTTGTCGTGCAATGTGGGATTTTTTTTTTTTGAATTTGCCATTTGTAGACTTCCTGGTAGATACACAGTTGTCAGTAGGATATTGGCATGAGCAGATGGCAGTGAGGAATACCTGAGCTTGCATTTGCCAGCGAGTTTTTACGGATCCTTTAGAAGTAGTCCATGATCTAACCAGAAATTACAGAGCAGAGCATAAAAACCACCTTATTACAAACAAATAAAAATTCCGAAACCTACAGGGCGAAACACACTGCCTTTTCCTTGCAATCTACATTACAGGAAAATATCTCTCTTCTGTTGTGTGGGTCTGCTTTGCTTGCTTTAAGCAGGGCAGCATTGTCTCTCTGCCATGATTCTTGTTTGGGCCCAAAAGTCTTAGAAATTACCACAGTGCAGCCCAGGGCGATGAACACAGAACATGGCTTCGTGCTTCAGTGCTGTGAAGAAACAGAGCCCTGGTGTCTTTGATGAGGATGTCTTTGATGGCCTTGGGCTGAGGGTGGCTCGTCGTGTGGCAGGATGGGGAGCAGCGTGGCAGGATGGTTTCTGCAGGGTCCATGGTACGGCTGCTGGCACTGGTGACAAGGCTCTTGTTTCTTGCAGGCCTGAGGAGGCCTGGTGCAGGGGGAAGGGGGGTGCATGGCTATGTGCACACACTGCATACAGGAACACCGGGAGCTGTGAACGTGGGTGGTGAAAGCACTACGGGGAGCCAGTATGGCCCTCGCATCCTAGTGGTGCCGAGCATGGCTGATTTGCATGGACAAGTGAGAGTGAGAGTGAAGAGACCTTTGCTTTGCAGTGACAGCACCAGAGAAAGCCACAAGATGGATATATGCTCTTAGACAGGTTTGCTAAGGCTTGGAGCACCCTGTTTCCAGCACTGGCCCCTGTACCTCTCTGTCAAGCAGCCTTGGGCTTGACTTGAGTCCTCCTCCGCTGCTCATTTGCTGTTCCCTCTTCCTCTGTCCCTCGTCAGGCATTCCAGCCTCCATCCCAAACCAACTGCACTCCCCCTTACTCACAGTGCTGCCATCCCACACCATGGCATTCTGCCCGTGCATTTTAAGTGCAGCTGGCAGTTCTCCTGGAGGGGACAACCCCTGCCAGCCATGTGACATGCAGAGACAGGCAGACACTGCCAAACTCAGGACATCTCTGATCTTCTCCCCCCTCTCCCTTCTGCCCCAGACAGACCCAACTTTCCACCTCACTCAGGGACATCCAGAAAACAGCTGACACCAGCTAGACACAGGCATGTAGTCTTCAGTAAAGCTGTGCCTTTTTCTACTCTGGGGAAGGTAAAATGATAGCTCCTCAACAGGGCACAAAAGCACATTATTAAGAAGATGTGAGAGCTTGGGAGAGGGAGGAAACAGCCTGGAGAAGAGGAATATTCAAGTTCTTGGAAAAATGAAGGAGAGACAGAAAGAGTAAAGAGCAGAGAAAATGAGATAGGGAAAGAAAGGAGGGAAGAAAGCTATGGAGGGCTAAAAGGGAATGAGAATAAAAGCACAGGAGTTGAGGAAGACACAGGACAGTAGGAGGACAGAGGAACAGCCCTGAGACTGCTGCAATAACAAGTGCAGCCATATCAATGAGGAGGAGGTATCTCTTGCATCTCCACCATCAGTGAAGACCCAGGGACACACCCTGACCCAGTGCTTCTCAATCCATAGCTCTTTGCACTCCTCTCAAGATCCTCAAGGCCCTGTGCCGAGTGGAGCTGTCCCTGTGGGAGCTCCCAGCAGGGATCCCCTGTGGCACTGTCTTTCCTGCACTCCCACAGCAGAGGGGCCATGTTGGGGAAAGGTCAGAGTAAGGTTGCCTGGGGTGTGCTCACTGCTGGTGGAGAGACCACTGCAATGGGGGATTGCAGCAATGGGATGGGGTGACCCCAGGAGGTGAGGTGACCCCAGGTGACAGCTTGGTCTGATCTGCACAGAGTCAAATGCCTGTGACACAAGCATGGCTTTTGACTTTAGCACTGGGCAGGGCAAATGCACCCTCTGCAGCGGGCACATGTTCTTTTCCTCTGGGTTTTGCTTCTTTTGGAAAATACATATATTTTCCCCAAATACTTTGATGCTTCTCAAATAGATGCTACAGCCCAAGAACTAATTTGTCTCCTCCCACCAGTCACTTGCTCTGAACCATAAAACGTGTCAGTCTTCTCTTACCTATCCACTTCCAAGGTGCCATTTCCCCTTGGGAAGCCACAGCAAGAAATGGGGATAAAATGCCAGACCACCATGCCCTCAAAGCAATCAACTGCCTTTACACCCTTGGAAGATCCAAGAGAAATCTCTGCTGACGTCTCTTGAAAATGCTGCATGCACTGACTTCACCATCTCTCCTGGAGTCTCTCCTTGCCATGTCTCCAAGTGATAAAAACAGGACCACAACATGCCCCACACCTCCCACCTCCAATATCCATGCGCCCAGAAATCCTCCCCCCCCAACCCTATTTGCCCCAGGCAAGACACACAGCTGAGACACAGAAAAGAGAGAAGGGAAGATGACGGACAGTCCACTGTGCAAAAAACAAACTGAGAATGAGGACACTCTGGGAAGGGTGGGGGAGATGCCCTTGGTCCCTCTCTGGCACACGGGTGGGCACATGCACGCCTGCACACACTCACACTTGCATCCTCTCATGCCCACGGAGGATGTGCCACATGCTTCAGAGACAGGCCCATGGCAGAGTCAAGGATAGCAGGGGTGGGATGTCATATTCGGAGACACCGGGTGACAGCGGGGGGAGGATCATTCACAGGTTACTTTCGTGGTTTTCCTCTGTCTCGACAGTCATGGGGGGCAGCCCTCCATTGTCATTCAGCCGTTTGGCCCTATAGGTCTCGTAGTGGATGTTGTGGGTCACTTCTTTTAGGTCCTGAAGGTGGGTCCTGCAGGGGACAAAGTGAGGTGGGAAACAGGGTATGATAACCAATATCAGCACAGTCAGTATTAATTTTCTGATGATAATTTTATTCCCTGAGATAAATGGAAGATTTTTTCAGTCAGTCTTGCTAATGATCATACCCCTCTTTCTGCATGGTTGGCACGGGTGCCATCATACATAACCGAGAGCTGGAGCATCAACATTCAAGGACACACATGCAGGATGCAGGATACAGGCTGAATTTCCTGGCTGTGCTTGCCAGTCCCCTGCCCCTCTCACACCCGTGCCACCAGGGCAGCTACTGGCCATCCTGGTGTGTCAGAGCAGACAGGAACTCATTGGAAGCAGTGGTGAGACAAGGAAGCATCAGGAGGGTGTATCAAGTCCATTGCAGACCATAACCTGCAGAACACTGCTGTGAGCATCATCTCTAACCTCCATAGAAAGCCTGTGGGCTTGGATTGCTATGTGCTTTGTGATGATCTTTTGGGTAGGCTGTTTTTACTGGAAGACTTGGGGAATGCATCTCTGCTGCTGAAGGTATCACAGAACAAAAAGAGGGCAGTAGAGTGATGTCAAAGCATTGTACCTGGCCAAGTGTCTCGATACCACCATGCCACAGGCCTCTGGATTTGAACTGTGTTTCTTTTATTTTCTTATTTTTTATGTCGTTTTAAAACCTTATTTTATTTATAGGGAATAGAGGTGACCCTGGATCTGCAGCTCTCCTACAGAATCTGGGGCAGATATCACTTATGCTGAGGCAACTTCAGGAAACAGAGTAGAAATGAGACAGGATAATGAAAGCTGAATGAAATATGGAGCTTTTCATTTCCAGTTCATATGTTCCAGCACATCCTTCAACCTGGAAGGACACGTGGCCTACAAGGGGGTAGTGACCTCTTGATCACTGACCTGTTTCCAGCAACAAATAGAAGGTTTTACAACCTTAATGGGATATAGGGGATGTGGTAGTACTCTGTTTTTCTCCAGGTGTCCAGCCCATACGTAAAAACTAGCACCTACTTGACATAGCGGTCATGTCTCTAAGAGAGGCACTAGAGTATCTACCCCTTAACTCAATCCAACTCTACTCCACATAAGCTTCCACTACCTGAAATGTACTCTATTCTCCTTTCCATAGGGGCTATTTCACTCTGAGTGGATCTCAGGAAGACTCATGGGTAATCAAGAGCAAACTAGATCATGGCCTTACCTGATGACAAAATCTCGAAGTAGAGCAAATTCACAGTGAGAGAGGTTTTCCACTGAAAAGAAAGCAAGCAGTTGCGTTACATTTGATTTTTTTTCAACAACCCCTTTGTGGTTACAGAGCACGGGAAATTCACTGCCATGGGGCAGGTTCCAGGTGGGTAGAACCTGCATGGACAAACAGTCGTCTGAACACCACACTGTCGGGCATTGAGGAGACATGCTAAGGGATGCTGAGCAGTCACACATGAATTTTGTGACTGTGAATATTTGAAAACCAAGGCAACCTCAGGAGCTTAGTTTCACACACTGTGGTGTTCAGAGCGGCTCCAGCTCCTGCCATGTGGTGGTAGTGGCATTGCATTGACCATGGCAGTTTCCTTCTAGCACAGCTATTTGAGAATTCTCCTCCTGTTTTGTTTCAAAAAGTTTATCACAAATGGGATGGGAAGGTATCCATGGGACATGTTATCTGGACTGTTGTCTGTTACTGTGACCTGCAGACATACTTTCAGCTCCCAGAAGCAAGTGGTTTTTTTACCTTCAATGATTCCCCAAGGTGTTTTCCTGCCCAGGACTCTTTTGCCATTCACTTGGTACTCCTTGTCGCTGCCCACTACTGCAAAGGGCATGCTTTCCTGCTGGGGAGAGACACGTGGAAAGACCTATTGAACCCATTCCATAGAGCAGCACCACCACTGTTCTCCATCCACCTTTCCTCCTCTCAGCTCAACAAACATAAGGCCTTCTCCAAGGCAAGAGATTCTCCTGAGCAAAACTTTACTGGCTGTCCTCTTCACCCGTTAGTGCTATCCCTAGCATTTTGGACCCTTGCTTTCCAGGTGTCCTTGCACCACCCCAAGCCTAGGGGGTAGCTTGCAGCAGTGCTAAGGGTTCTGGAGCAGGAGGCAGAGCTTTTCTGCATCCATCACCAGCATTTGTGAAGAGGGAGATGACCAGAGAAGAAGTACCTTGGTATTACCAGGGGAGGGTCTGTCAGACCAGGGCTGCTCATACGGATAGTTTGAGGTGAGTATTTCTCACCAAGTTTGAGTTCTTCACAAGAGAAAAAGGAGAGGACTCAAAATAATCCTCCCCGATAAGACATAGGAAAATTCAACAAGTTTAATGGCTGAAATGGCTGTACCAAGGAAGGCCAGAAATGGAGTAGGGATGCAGCTTTACTGGGAAGTGGGACACTAGGTGAGGCTATTGGGGACCCAGATATCTCTAAGCACAGGGAGAAACTGTCTGTTTCCAGAGCACGGGGTACAGGAGACCCTACTATCCATAAGGTTGTGCAGATGTTCATAGATTTACATGGCTTTATGGATATCCCTGGGCCTGGGAAGAGACTGCAGTTACCACAGAAATGGAGATTAAAAAGCAGTTTATTTACTACGTGTGAGGGCAATGGTGCTGAGTGCAGAACAAAATGTGCTGCCCTCCTCATTCCCCCTTCCCCTCCCACAATAAAATGTTTCATACCCTGATTTTGTCGTTCTCTGTTTTATCCTCCAAGTCCTCATCAAATTCTTTCTGGGGATAAAACTCGATCCCATTTACTTCAAGTTCTTTGCGCACCTAAGCAGAGAGACATTTTGGAGCATAAAGCAGCACAAACCTGAAGGGAAGGCAGTTGGGATGGCCAGGCAAACACATCTGGGACGTCCTTCCAGTGGGCAGGGGCTGGAGGGGTTGTCCCAAGGAAGTGCACAGCAAAGTGAGGACACATGTCAGCAATGATGAGTCTTTCTTCCCGACCCCAGTTACATGTCTGGCTCTCCAGTTCCCGTAACAGAATGTATCAGAAGATGTCACAGGAATACACACATTTCTTCCTTCTCTAAAGATGCCCTCAGAGCTATAAACAGCTGCATCTTTAGGACTTACCCACCCACCCAATGCTGGACTCTGCATGCACTGGGGACTGCACTGCAATCCCAGGAAGGATACAACTCATTTCTCCCACCTCCAAGCCAGGACAGGGAAGGATCCCGTACAGGAGAGGAGATACTCACTCTTTGTTTGAATTCAGTCTTTTCCTCCAAGGTCATGGTGTCAGCCTTGGCAATAACCGGGATGATGTTCACTACCTTGCTGAGGTGTTTCATGAACTCCAGGTCCAAAGGCCGCAAGCTGCAGCCCAAGAGGGAACAACATGGAAGGGGTCACTTTACTCTCCTTGCCTTTCATCCTAGTGACTCTCTCAGCATCAGGGCATCAGTGAACCCTCCCTTGTACATACTCTGCTTGCTGCCACCATGCTCTTATCTCCTTCTTCCCATCCATCTTGCCCTCTCCCAAAAAACACAGTGGCATTTCTCCTGCTCTTGTTATCCTAGACCCTTTCAAGCCCCACAGCACCTGAAGTTAAGCTAAACAGTGGCCAGCTCTGCTGGCAGGATCCCAGATCCATGTCTGAAATGGAGCAGTGTAGGGTATATATCTGACACAGAGACACCAAGGGCTTGAGGAAGAATGAGGGACTGTGTACATACGAGTGGCCTGTAGGGGAGATGAAGTAGAGGCAGCAGTGCACTCGCGTGTCTGGAATTCGTTTCTTCCTTGCAATGTTCACCTCCTCTTTCAAAAATTTTTCGTATTGCTCATTGATGTATTTCTCAATAGGCTCCCAGCTGTTAAAGTGGGAGAGAGAGATGAATAGACAGGTACAAATCTCTTCATGTTCCTGCCTACAGTGTTCCCAGCTCTGACAGCAGCAAAGCAGGCTCAGGCATAAAAAGTATCCACCTCAAAGCATCTTGCTATTAGCAGAGATGTTTAAGAGTTTCTGTAGCTGGGCACAGAAATAAGCATTCACCATGTAAAGGGTACATACCCCCAAGCATGCACACAGACCCATGGTGTTCACAATCTCATGACTCCACTACCAGCCCCCTGAGTGCAATAGGATCCCAGATACTTTCCAGGGCCCAGTAGATGAGACTCACTTCATACACTATCTTAATTCCAGACCTTCCTGAGACACAAGGCCTTGACCCTGTAAAACTCACCAGTTCTCATTGTTGATCTGGTCCCCAAATCCTGGTGTGTCAATAACTGTAAGCTTCATTTTGACACCACCTTCTTCAATGACTGGGGGAGAAATTGCAAACAGTCATATCCCTCCCTGGAGACCTGTTTTGTCATGAAACATGATTCTGTGTCCTACAAGGGAACAAGAGGGCTCTGGCCTCATCCCTGCCCAGCAAGTATGACCAGACAAGGCTGGGTCGTGCCTGAACAGTTATGACCCCCACTTCTATGTCTAACCCCGAATTTTGGTAACATCTACACCAAAGCCACCTTACAACACTCTGACACAGGAAAACGGATTTGTGCTCAGTTTGTGGCCCAAAGGTAGTACCTACCTTACTTACACAAATTCTCCTCCCCTCTAATGCATCATCCTGAATCTGAGGTGATGCTTGTTACCCTGTACCACTGTAGGAGCTGTACCGATGCTTTGCCATGAGGAGATGTGCTCTACTGGGCTTGGGATGGGACCCATGAATGCAACTTGTGTAGATTATTAAGTGTCTGCAGGTGGGAATGTCTTACAGCAAGGCTTAATCGACACATGCAGACTAATGTCTTATCAGAAGAAAAATCTATGACTATTTTTCTACCCCTCACTTCAGGCTCTGGCATTAGTGGCACTGCTGTTTAAGAAAAGCCTTGTCTGGCTCTGAGGCCATCTAAAACTGTCCTTTAGCTTTCCATGGAGAAAGGGCTGCCTAATATCAAATACCTATTTGCGTAGACTACTGGGACCCTCTCCAAGACTGCACTGAAGCATCAGTATTGCTTCCACACCAGCCTGGCTCTTACCATGCCCAATGGCTTTGATCTCCACCGTCTTGGGGATCTTCTCCTCACGGTTCCAGCCTGAAGATTTGCGGCTCACCTGGGATTTGAAGAGGGTGTTCACCAGCGTTGATTTTCCCAGTCCACTCTGACCTAAAGATAGCAGAGAGGAAGCTTATGACATTTGTCACAGGCTGGTGATGACAGCAGGCCCAGGGGATGGAGCCAGGCTGGCAGGGGAAGGGGCTGTAGGTGTCTCCTTGCCTTGTGCAGGCTCTCCTTTCCCTCAGAGCAAATGCTCTCTGCTCCCTCGTGCCCTCCCTGCAGGGCTCGCTCTCCCACCTGGCCTCAGAGGACAGTCCCTGGCCATGGTTCCCAGTTCCTCAGCTGGTCCCTGCCTACCTACAACCATGATGTTGAAGTCGAAACCTGTCTTCATGGTTTTCTTGCGCATCTGCTCAATGATGGTGTCAATACCGATGTAGCCCAGTAAGCTGGCGTTGATGCCCATGGGTTTCATCGGTACAACTGGTTTTTGTCGTGGCTCTGGGACCAGCTCAGACATGGCTGCTTCGTTTTTGTTCTCCACTGGTCCTGCATGGGAAGAAAGATTGAAAAATCGTCAGTGAGGTGTAAAACAACCTCCCTTCTGACCTGTCACAGGGGCTGAGGGCAACTTTGAGCAATTTCAAGGCCTACTGAGGATGACTGAATGGCAAGATTTTAGGGGTAAGGCTCTTCATGGAGGAACATCTACTTATATGCATGACTCCAGATGAGGAGGTGAAGCGGGCTTCATTGAGCATGCATTGATGGCTACTTCCACACATTGATGGCTACTTCCAAACAGCAGGAACAGACCCAGTGAGCCTGGCTGGGTCTGCTAATCAGATGCCCAAAGCTCTGTATGTGTCTCCTCATTTTTGTCTCTCAGTTCTCCACAGGATCACCAGTGTTTTGCCACTCCAAGTTTACCATGAAATTTGCTATAGAAGAGACTTTCAAGAACTATTGTGTGTCAAGTCTTGGCATTGAAACAGAGTTTGGGATGTACTGTAAGCTTGGCCCTTGCCAGGGGCAGCTGCGTTACTGGCCATGCTGGTGCTGTGCAGGCTGAGTTCCTCAGAGGAGCGCAGTGGTGGAAGTGAAAGCATGGCCATAATTTCAATGCTTGCCTCCCACCCACAAACCAGTGGTTTTTGTCATGCTCAAGAAACTAATCATCATAATCAAATAAATGATTATCTGCATCTTTCCTTCCTCACCTCTCCCTGCTCACTTCTTCCATGTAAAACGAACAGGCAAAAAGAAAGGCCCTGAGGGCGTTCTAGCCTCCCTGACTCTTTTTCGGGTGATGGCACACATTGCTTAGGGCAGGCCTTGCCCATTTATCTCCATCTCTTGTCTCATTAGTGAGCAGCTCCATGCCACTGGGAGGAAGCCAGAGGTTGGGAGAGGACTGGGTATTGAAGAAAAGCTGTAATTGCTGAGGAAGGGAGGCGTGAGGGATGAATCTAGAAAGGAAGATGAAGGGGATGGGAATCAAATACCTTGCATATACAGCCCAGCTGCAAACTAGAGCCTCTCCCACTCTAATTACTTGACTCCCCCACACTTTGTCTCATTAAATGGTTATTTTTCCAGGACAGAGACTGCACGTGTTTTTGCTTGGTAAGTACTCTGTTTGTTTAGGATGCCACTTCAGTTCAAGTATCTCACACTAAATTATTCCTTTCCATCATTTTGGCAGAGTTTTTTTCTCCTTTCAGCAGAATCCACTGGCTGCAGAGAAGGACATGAGCAGTCGGGCAGGTGACTGCCATTTGGTGGGTGACACATGCCCCTCTTGGTGAGGAAAATGACTCAGAAGATCATCAGGCTCTGAACACTGATGGCACCAATCCACAGTCCCTGTGACAGCTCAGCCAGGCCAGGCAGAGGCAGGTTGGGGAGAGGTCAGAGAGATTTTGTTCAAGGACGGGTTAAGCTGCAGCAGGCTTCATGGCTAGCTGGGGACCCTGCCTGGCATTCCCACATCAGAGCTTCTGTGCAGACACAGGGCTGCTCTACATGGTGAAGATTTTACATTTTATATAAGCTGTAATATCCCACTATCATGTGCTAAGGAAAGACCTTGTCAGGGAGAAGGGTGCCTCCAGCTCCTTCTACACTGCTTGGGAAGTCTTTGATATTAAACTGGGAGAAGGGATCTTTCCTCTGTGTGAGAGGATGGTAGCACAGCCACTCCTGCACAGCACTGTGGGTAACATCTGAAGGCCCTTGTACCAGCTCTGTTCCACCTTGCCCATACACAAAAGGTCAGCAGGAGGATGGCCCCCCTCCTGCTCTTCCCCACTGAGCAAGGGCACCCTGAGCTATCATCATCCTCTCCTGAAGCAGTGAGCAGCACCCTGGGGGGACCAGAGCATAAGATGGATCATTGGCTTGAACCAGGCTGGCAATTTGGAGCACCTCACACTGCCGGGCAGCTGCTGGAGGAGGCAGCCTGCCGAGATGAGTCCTTCTCAGCTGCAATCCTCTCTTACACCCATCACAACTAGTCTGTGCCTTTCTTGCTGATGAAGCACCCCCTGAGGCTCCTGTTGTCTTTTTCCAGCTTTATCAAAGCTGGTGCCAGCCAGGAAAGCCCAGATTTTTCGTACAGCACAGGGGGCCAGGCCAGCCAGCTCTCCTGCACATTGCCCTTCACTCATTCTCTCCCAGGCTGCCTCACACCACCTGTATCATGGTCCAATGGCTGTGCCATGTCCCTCATCCTGCTGCAGCATCTGCCAGCACACACCCCATACAGCCCTGCTGGGTTCTCACCTATCCCAAAGAGTGGGAGAAGAGAGAGACAGGTAATGATGAGAGCATGTGAGACAAGGGGCTGTGGCCCCAGTGAGGCACTTGGCTACTGCAGTAAGTGGGGCCAAATAAACCCTGGAGAGGTACAGGAACAGGTTGAGGTGAGAAGAAAGTCCAGCTGACCAGCTGCATGGGACGGGTGAGGACCTGGTCCATATGGGCTGCGACCCCTTTGCTGCCTGGTTAGTAGCTTGTCCTCAGGGAATCTGTTGCCCTCTCCTTTATTCCTTCCACCCTCATTCTTGCACAGGAAGGATGAGGAAGGAGGGAAGTTGCTGGCAGCCTCAAGGCTCACTAAGAGGTTCATAACTCATCCCTCAATCTCACCAAAGGAAGCTTTGCCCAGAGCCAGCAGATGTTGCTGACTGCTGTGGACATCACGATATGTGGCCATCCCTTTGCAGCTGGAGCCAGATCTTTCAGTCAGGTTCCTGAGCAGCTATAGAAAACCCTGAGATGAGGAGAAAAGAGCTTCAGAAGTCTCCTTAAATATATTTCTTGTATTTTATATCTGGACATCCAAGGTGTTGGGGTAAGCAACCTCCCTTTATCCCCTCAGTCACTTGCCTTCCTCTCTGTGTGGGGTGCCTTCCCATTCAGCCTCAGGCAGGGAAGCCCCCATTTTGCAGACATTACCTAGGGGTTCAGCTTTCTGCACATGATTTTCCACCTCTTGATTCCCACAGATGAATCCAAGGAGCCAGCTGAGGAACAACCTGCTAGGGAGGTCAGGGTGTGCAAAACAGGGACCAGAGCCATAAGAGGCACCCTGAGACAAGAAACGTGCCTTCCTGCTCTCCTGGGAGTGGCTGTTTTATATGCATTAAAGCTAATACTGCTAGGAAGCCTCCTGAGCGCTCTGAGTGGCTGCTCAAGGGGTGGCATCATGCGTCCTGGGCACATGCCATAGCCCTTCCAGCTGTTCCCTGTAATGAATGCATGATAGGGCACTACAGCCAGTACAGCTGACAATGAACAGAGGGGTAGCCAAGGTTAACCACTTACATCCGCTGCTCGCAGGGCCCCTTTTTTCTTTGCTGCTTTGTTCTACGTGCTAACAGAAGCTCATTTTAGAGGGTCGTTGCTGGCAATACCCCTGCTGCCCAGATCTCATAGGGGGTAGCCTGGGCTGGGCTGGACTGTTGGGGAATATTATCTGGCTCACAGGAGATGCTCCACTCGGCTCTGGAGCAAAGAGAGGTGCAGTGCAGCATTTGGGGCCAGGACAGGGAGGACCAGAAGCACACCAATTGCCCAGAGAGGTCCCCACAGTCCCAGCTAGCTCCTTCTTCTGACACCCATGATCCACCCCAAAACCTCTCCCTGGAAGGCCAGCATACGTGGCCGGCAGCAGACACCACTACTGCAGCTCACCCTTCATGTCTACCTCTGAGGTTCTCAGCAGCTGTCTGGGGACAGAGGTGGCCCTACAGGTCCCTTAGGGGCTCAGGTAGTGGAGACTAACATCTATTATGTTCTGATAACCCAGATACAGTCACATCCCCTCCCCCTGCCTTTCCATCCTTTGTCTGAGTGGCAAGAGGGAGAGAGGGCTGCAAACAGTGCTCACCACAAACCAGCTTCCAGCAAAGAAAAGCTATTTAACCCCACGTAACACATGGATGGCCTCACAGCAGCTCTCCTCCCATGCAGCACAAGGTTGTCTCGCTCCAGCTGGAAGCGATGATCCACACACTCATCTCACCCTAGCCCCTTCCACCCATGTGGCTCTGGACCCACAGTTCCACTGCCTGCAGGCACGGAACAGGGAGGAGGGACAGGTTCAGAACCTGAAGTCTTCTGGCAGGAGCAGGCCCTCAACTGGTGATGATGCCAGGTCCCTACAAAGCAAAGCAAGCAGCTGTTTCAGTAGCACAGCTTCCCTGGAGCTGGCAGGGATCAGGACCTGCTCCTTGCTTCAGATTTGCAGAGGTTCTGGACTGAGCATCTCTCCACCTTTCCCCTTCAGTTTCCATTATGACCCCAGGGCACTTCTTTCAGCTGTGCAGGGCAGTGGCTGAGCCGTGATGGCCGGATGCACTGCCTGACCTCCAAATACAGAACAGAGTCATTCTTCTTACCAGATCTTTTTGCCTGGCTTGAAGATCAATCCTCTGGGCTGCCACAACCTTCCCGGCAGCAACCTTCCTTCCCCTCAGCACTCTGCAAAGGGCTTGGGTAGGAGCCCGGCTGCAGTGAAATCTAGGGCAGTGCGTGCCGAAGCCTCTCTGGAGATGCAGAAGCTGGAGGGGAAGGGACTGGGCACATCCCCAGCCCAGCCGCCGCAGCCCCAGCCCCAACGAGCAGCCCTCGGTGCCGCTCTCCAGCCCTGCAATCCTTACCCCATGGCCCAGCTCACACCTGGGTGGCACAGGCGAAAGGATGCTGAGCACCCCTGGACCAGGGTACCCACACCACCGCAGCTGCCTCTCCCCCTGTCCTCATGCCTGCCGGCTCCTGCGCAGATGCCCAGGGAGCAGCACAGAACACCCCCGCTGCCCCCGCAGCGACTGCCTGTCACTGGCAAGGGACAAGCCAGGAGCCGAGCAGCTTGTGGGCTTTCCCCAGCCTTGGACCAACTGGGATTATCTGTTTCTTTCAGAGCAGTGCCTGGCGCCAGCTACTCCCCATCAGCACCACAACCAGCCCTGCTCCTTCTTCATACGAGACTGCTGCCACCAAAAGGAAAAAGACAGAGGAATGTCAAAGCCGGGACCGATTTCCCCTGCTACCCTTCGGGGCTATCCCTCCCCCGTGCCCAGAGCTGGGAAACGAGGGGGCACGGCGTAGGATGCCTGCACAAAAAGCCCCAGCGGCATCCCTCTGGCGCTGCCCAGCCCTGCCAAGCCCGGAGCATCCTACCTTTGAACATGAAGCTTCCTTTGTCTCCGAATCCTCTCGCAAGGGGGTGGGTCTCCCCCCACTTTTCTAGCCTGATGCTGATGAAGTAGTACGGTGGGCTACAAGGCTCTGCTTGCTTTTACCTTTCTCTTTCTTCCCCGTGTCCTGTTCTCCCCCACTCTCCTTCCCTTCCTTCTCCAGTGGCTATTTCAGCAGAGCGGGGATGCTGGTGCTGCTCCTGCTGCCATCGTCATGTGACCTGAATATTAAACATCTCCGCAAAATCTCCCCCCCGCGCACCCTCCCCCGGCTCCATCCCAGGCCCCCCGAATACATCCCAGGCCCCTGCCATGCTCCCTGCCTTGGGGAGGAGCATGGCCGCGGGGTTCGAGGGGCCACTGCCGATGGACCCCCCATATGTCCCAGAGGGCCCCCCTTTGCACACCTACCCCACACAGGCCTCTTCTTGCCCCTTTCCCTCCCAATTGCTCAGCGTTTGCAGCATCTCTGCTTGTTTAGGGAGGGGCATATTTAACCCTTCACAGCTTAGCTCCGGCAGGACTGAGAAAGGACACACTTTGTCCCTAGGTAGTTTTTGGGTTCAGGGGATTGCAAGGTCTCCTTTTGCTTTCCTGAAGGGAGGAAATTGGGAATGTTTTGGTTCATCAAATGTGATTTGCCCTTCAGCTCTGCTTGTGGAGGTGTGAGAAACCTTTTCTACTCCGGCACTGTGATTCCTGGCTGCCAGCCCACGGCGCAGAGGCAGAGCCGGTGCTGGCCCCTCTGTGCATGTGTGTGTACATGCATGTGTGCATGCGGGCATGCATGTGTGTGCCTGCAGGCGGGGAGCAGGGAGAGGTCATCCCCCTTGGGCCACGTTGGGGGACACAGGTCACATCCCCATGTGCCCTGGCAGGCATATGTGCCTGGCGATGCCCACCTGCCCAGTGGACGTGCCTGTGCTTGGAGAGCTGTGCAGATGCCTCTGACTGCTTGCACCTTTGGATGGGAATGCCCTTTCCCCCCCTGCATTTCCTTCTCCTACATTTGTGAGCCCTGGCCCCACCAGGCACCATGGACCCGCCATGCTGTGCTAGGGCACCAACATCTGGGAATGCTCCGACCCTCCACTCAGTGGGATGACAGCAGCACCCTTTCAGGGCTCTACCCATGTGTCCCTCCACCATGAGGCAGCTCCCTGGGTGGAGGCCAGGCTGTTGGATGCCTGGCAGACTCGGCAAGGGTTTGGAGGGCCTATTTTTGCAGCAATCTGGGGCAAAAAGGAAACTGCACCTGCTGCAGATTATTGGAACTTTTAGAACATTTAGAAACCACCACCAGCATTTACCCAGGCTAGGCTGAGCCATTGACAGGCTGGCTGCCTCCAGACAGATGGACAGACAGACAGGAATCTTGGCACTCACATGTCCTGACATGGCGACCACAGCTGCCTGTTTCCCTGCTGGGTGCCAGGCTCACAAACTCACGGGGATTCTCCTCCCACCTGTTGTTGCCCACCCATACTGCCACTGTGGGTCAAGGGGAAATCGCTCCCAGGGGAGGAAGCTCCCATCCTCCCCCACATCATCCCACCTCTCCTAAGGGTCCTGCCCACGCTGGGCTCCATGCCAAGGGGCCCCTTGGTGCCTCCCTCCCCCATGCCCAGCCCATCCCGTCAGCAGAGACCCACCGGAGCATGGTGAGGCACAGGACACCCCCATCTTCACCACCAGGGTGGCTTCGGCCCCTCCAGAGTTGCCACGTCGCTGGGGCCACTCAGCTGCCGTGGGCCGGAGGCGAGGGGCGATGGGGGTGACAGGGGCAAGGCCCCGCAGCCGCTCCCATGGGGGCCCCCCACCACCCCCACCAGCCCGGCGCAAGGTGACGGAGAGGCAGCTCCGCTTCGTGGAGGCAGTGGCACCAAGGGGGCTGTCCCGCTGCCATGGGGAACCCAGGATGCGGCTGGGGCTGGTGGGGCTGCCTGGGGCGGGCAGGCAGCTGCGATGAAGTGTGATGTCCTCCTCCATGGTGGTCAGCAGCAGGCTGCAAGCAGAGGTGTGAGAACGGGAAGCTGGTAGTGCCAGACCGGGCTGGGGGCCCCAGGCCTTCCCCGCTGTCAGAGATGTGGTGTCTCGGGGTGCAGACCTCCCTGGAGCTGCCATCATCCTCGTGCTTGAGCCCCCACCTCCAGCCCTGTCCAGCCAGCCAGCCAGCCCGCCTCCAGCTGCGACAATGGGGCCCTTGTGGCCTGCATGGCACACTCCCACGCTGGGTGCTGTGGCTGCTCCTGCCCCATCCCAGCACCTTCCTGACCTCTGCCACCAACAGCCCCACACTCTGGGCAGCCTCGCACCATGACCCCCTGCCCTGGTCCCATGGGGGGAGGTGAACTAGCAGTGCATACCTGCCATGTCAGCCCTGTGCTTCCTGCTCCCAAGGACAGCAGGTACGATTTTAAAAAAAATTAATTAAAATTTCTGAATATTTGAAATGTTTTCCCTCCCTCTCTATTTTATTCCCCCTCAAATGGTATATTCCAGTGCAACAACTTATATCCCACTGTGGAAGTTCAGTGGTCATTTGCTGGGTGTTCATCCAAGTTGATGCTTCTTTCCCTTGTTCTGATTTTCTTTTGCTTCTTCATTATTCTGATTGTTTCTTATTTTTGTCAGCTTTGGGGCATTTTCATGGTCAAGAGAACACCTATTGCAGGGATCAGCTTGCTATGCTACACTTGCCTTACTATAAAAGACATTGAAGGGCAACACAAGGAGGAAAGGAGAAAGGTGTTTTGGTGGGATAGAATGAGAACTAACATGGTTTGGTGGGCAAGTGGGAGCAAAGAAGAGGAGAGATAGGCACCCATAGCACCCACAGCATGGCAGGGGAAATGCTTGCCTGCGTTCAGGTGGCCAGGGCTGCGGGAAGTGAAAGGGGAATCACTATCCAGTGACCCACAGCAAGCTGCAGGGAATGCTGGTGGAAAGCAGGGCTCAGGGCAGTTTGAGTTCTCTGCTTCTTTAAGGGCAAAGAGACAGAAAAGTTGGAAAAGACCAACCTGATACTGTGTAGTATTTCCAGCACTAAGTATCTTCTCTGATGCTTTATGCATTTTAATTCAGTATCTGTGACTATTTCCCTCTCCCCTGAGGTCTCTCTGCCTATACAGGTCCCAGAGAGGAGAAACAGTCTCAGTTTTCAGGCACCATTTGTCTTTGGCTTAATTGTTCCCAAACAGCTCTGCTGTAGCTGGCACAGGAACCAGGCAGATGAAGACCTACTCTGCTGTAAAGGAAACCTCACTGTGGACTGGTCCTTGCTGCCTGTCCAGAGCTGGAGGGTGGCAGCTCCAGGGAGGAACAACAGGAAAATAAAGCATCAGCCACACAGTTTGTCACACACTTCTATTCCACTGGGGAGGGCTTGATACTATTGGCCATAAAGTCTTTTATAGCCATGGAAAACACCTGGCCTAATGCCGAATGCATCAGTAAACAATGCAAAACACAAGCCAGAGGAGATGAATAATTAGTTTCTCTCTAGTCCATCCCCCGCCTGTTTGTTGTCTTCTTTTGCTCAGTTGTGGGCAGACTGGAAGTGAAAACAGGCAGGACAGCATGCAGAGGAACACACGGAGGAGGAGAGAGGGGACCCCTGTGGGTGCAGGCTCCCCTTCCAACAGGGGAGGTTTACCCTGTCCCTGACTGCTCCAAGCCCCTCAGTTCCAGCATAGAGGTTTTAATTGCTACCCCACGGCTCAGCTGTGTCTGTTTGCAGGGCAGTACTACCTATGAGGGAGTCAAGGTGAGGAAACAGGTTTCCAAGCTGGTGCTTAGAAATATGGCTGTGATGTGCCAGCGGGCAGGGGATGGGGGCCATGGAGCCACGAGTGGCATGTCAGACCATGCAGTCCAGCCCCATGGCGTTTCTCTTTCACAGCCCCAAGTCAACAAGGCACAAAAATTTACCTGTTTCAAGCTGTACCTGCTCTTTGAGTCTTTGCTTGCCAGGGCGAGTGTAACTTCAGACACAGGAGTAATCCCACTCACTGCATTTCCCTGATGAGTGAGACTCCCCAGTTAGGCTACTTGCACCATAGTCACTGTTATTTGGCTGAATGAAAGGACTCTTGATTTGTCCTCTGTCTGAAATAGAACCAGAAAGCTCCTGCCAGTGTGCCTGGTTTTGGTGTGCAGGAGAATGGTAATGCATTTGCAATCTGGTGTATGAAACATTCCAGGAAAACCCAGGATATTTGTAGAATGTCCTGACCTATTCCTTAGAGCTAAAAATTAGCTTTCATCCCCAGAGAATGACCAAGTTTCAGGACACACCTGCACTTTGAGCCTTTGCTTGGCAGGGCAAGTGAAAGTTTGGGCATAGGAGTAATACTGCTCAGTGCATTTCCCCACATTGTTCACTCTAACTAGCCAGTGAACTCTGCTCCTTTCTTTGGGAATGGAGGACAAAACTTCCACTGATGAGTTCACAAGCGAGGCTGAATGACACAAGCCCATCCAGGAGCTGTGGAAGATTTGGGCAGCTGGCCTGAGGAGTTTCTACTGCCAAAAGGAGAACAGAGCCAGCACAATGGAAGGACACTGGAGATGTGAGTCGTCAACATACTGGCTGGCCCAGGGGATGGCACAGGATGCACGGACGTGCACATGGGATGGTGGCACTGGCTAACATACCTGGGATATACAGGAGTGGGGCACACAGGACCCCTCTGTTGCCAGAGTGTTCACAGGTAGAACTGCTGCACCTACTGCATCCAAAGGGTGGGTGCTGTGGTGGGAGGAGAGGTAACACAACCTCCTGCCACAGGCTCAGAGCTCTCCCAAACCTCCCTGTGCGCACTGAGCAATGCACTGGGCTGGCAGGGAGGGAGAAAGTGTGCATGTCCCTCTTAGCCCTAGTGTCACAGTTTCATCCAGCACTTTGGTGGCCAATCAGGCCCAGGACATTGTAGGAAGTCTATAAACATGGGATTTTGTGCCAGACCCACATTATACAGCTTGGGTCCAGAAAGCAGAGGTGGTATAATGGGCCCATGTAGATGGCAGGCTCAGTTCCCTTCTCAGAGACATGCAGAGAAATACGGGGATGCTTCACAGCTTTGTTGGGGCGACAGTTAAAGGAGAGCCTTATCTATGCCATAGGGCTCTGGAACACAGGGTACTGAACAAGTGCGAGATGACTCCCAGACTATCCCATCTCACTCCACGACAGAGGAGCAGAAGGTCAGGCAGATCAGG